GAGGTCCCTTCCAGCCCAAATGTCTATGAAATCTATGAAGTTAGCCAGGAGGCAGGACAGGGTGTCACCTTATAGCAGAGGTGGGCAAAACACTGCTGGTGGGCTGGATCCAGCCCAGCAACTGAGTGCAGCTGCTCCAGTGATGCTCCGCATGGGGCTGAGCCCACCCAGGGCAGCCAGCACTGCACTCCTGCCTGCGCCTACAGGCCCTGGCCCCAGCCCACGTGCAGAGCTTCTAGCAGGGCTGGTCCCAGTGCAGCTGCAGCTGCCTAGGTGGTGCTCGACTCCCCTCACCTCCAGTGGTGGCGGCTCCTCCCACTCCTGCCCCTGCTGTACTGCTCTGGGTGGGGAGGAAGCTGCAGCTCGGTGGCTCCTGCCCCAGTGTGTGGGGCTCCAGCTCCAGCCCCTAGATGCCTTCCACCTACTCTGCCCACCTGGCACGATGAGTAGCCACCTGCAGGCAGCTGGGAGCTGGGAGCTGGAACCAGAGACAGAGCCCCGCACACTGGGGCAGGAACAGGAGGAGGAGCCACTGGAGGCAAGGGGGCTGAGTAGTACCCAGGCAGCTGCAGCTGCAAAGCGACGAACCCTGCCAGTAAGCTGTGCATGTTGGCCATGGCCAGGCTGGCAAGCATGGGTGGGAGCACAGCATGGGCTGCCTTGGGTGGGCGCAGGCAGGGCTCAGCCGCATGCAGAGCACCATGGGGGTAGCTGTGGACCACACCGCCTGGGTGATCTCTGCTACATGTGCCCCTGCCCCCCCTCACCCGCAGCCAGCTCCCAGGACCTAGTGCCCAGGCAGCCTACCCCACCTCCCCACACACCTCAAGGCTATGTTCTTGGGATGACGACAGCATGGGCTGGGGCCCAGGGCACACCCGTGATCTGCTCCCTGCTCCCTGCACTCCCCTGCCCACAGAACCTGTGCTGGTCACAGGGACATGCAGGCAGCAGATTGCAGCTTTGCCCTGGGCCCTGGCCCAGTGCGGTCACTGCCCCGTGATCCTGGCCTTTCCTGCCCAGCCCACTCCCCAACACCACTCCCCACCAGCCCACGGCCCCATCCCACTTAAGGAGTTTTGGTAAGCTGTCGCATGAAGGGGAGGAAGGATGCTGACCCAGCCTGCAACAGCTCATCAGAACTCCCTTTGTGGCCCACTGTCCCAAATAATTGCCCATCCCTGCCTCTTAACCTAACTTTTCAAAGAATGGGGAGTTGGCAACACTGCTTAAACTGCATATCAGTTATCAGTACTCTCATTCAAGCTGAAGGCCTGGGCAATGCCTGGTTCTAAATGCCCTCTCTTCATGGGGCTTCTTACAGGATCAGACCCCACCAGCAACAAGAATTTATATAAATTAACAACGATATTCTATATCACATGAGTTAGAGGAAAGAGGGAACCTGCTCTAAAAATATTCTACTAGAAAAGCTATCTGCAAAGAAATGCATACCTTTATCTTCTGTATCTGCTATTTGTGGATCAGTAGGTTTCTGCAGCGGGGTTGGTGTTATAATACTGGCTTCCTTGCTACTATTAGAGGTTGTCTGATTTTGTATTTGGTGATGAATAATAGCGGATTCAATCCTTGCCCAGTAAACAAAATATGACTGGACTACGGAAAAACTGAAAACAAATCAACATAGGTTGTTATGCAAGAATTTAGTCGCTCAATACCATTAATAAAATATTGCAACATGTAGCTAAAATCTAAAGGATTTATTTTCATGTAAAAAAAACACAAAT